CGTTACGTGAAAATCGCGAAGATCTACTATCACCTAGCCGACGTTATATTTGTATATTCGCTTCGTTTAACAGTAACAGGGCAACCGTGTGAGATATTGAAGAACCAAGCACTCCTTTATATTCAGGATCAAAAAAAGGTTAGATTTCGTTGGGGACATTTATTCTAGCCGACGTTATATTTGTATATTCGCTGCGTTTAACAGTAACACGGGAACCGTGGGAGATATTTAAGAACCATGCACACATTTATATTCGTGACCAAAAAACAGTAAGATTTCGTTGGTCACATTTAGTTTTAGCAATTATAATTACAATCGAAATATTTAATTATCTGTATTTGCCCCCATCATCGTAGTTCGAAAAGTCGACGCCGATGTCCAGAATGCATAGCAGAAAAGTACTCCATTTAGAGTACGAGTATCATACCGGTACGTTACGTGAAAGTCGCGAAGAAATACTATCTCCAAGCGCGACATTATAGGTGTATATTAGCTTCGTTTAGCAGTATCACGGGAACCGTTTGAGCTATTGAAATAATAAACCACAACCTTGTATACGGTACCAAAAAAAGGTAAGGTTTCGTTGGGAACTTTTATTTATTGGAATCATTTCTAACGCGAAATATTTAATTATTTTTATTTTCCCCCACATTGTAGTTTGAAAATTCGATGCCGGCGTCCAATATGCATAACAGAACTGTACGCCATTTAGAGGATGCGACTCGTCCCAGTATGATATGCGAAGGTCGCGCAGAACTACTATGACCATGTGCGACGTTATATGTGAATATTCGCTTCGTTTAACAGTAACACCGGAACCCTCTGAGCTTTGAATAACAAAGCACACCTTTATATAAGGGGGCGAAATATTGTAAGATTTATTGTATACATTTAGCAGAAGGATTTATTTTTAAAGTCGAAATATTTAATAATCTGTATTTTCCCCCACATCGTAGCACGTAAATTCGACTCCGATGTCCAGAATGCATAGCAGAATCAAACACCATTTAGAGTACGAATATCGTCGCAGTATGTTATGAGACAGTCGCGAAGAACTACTATCGCCTAGCCGACGTTATAGGTGTATATTCGCTTCGCTTAAAGGTAACAGGGCAACCGTGCGATAAATTGAAGAACCATGCACACCTTTATATTCGGGATCAAGGAATTGTAAGATTTCGGTGGATACATTTAGCAGAAGGATTTATTTTTAAAGTCGAAATATTTAATAATCTGTATTTTCCCCCACATCGTAGCCCGTAAATTCGACTCCGATGTCCAGAATGCATAGCAGAATCGTACTCCATTTAGAGTACGAGTATCGGACCGGTATGTTACGTGAAAATCGCGAAGAAATAATATCTCCAAGCGTGACGTTATATGTATATATTCGCTTCGTTTAACAGTAACACTGGCACCGTTTGAGCTATTGAAAGAACTAACCACACCTTTGTATTCGATACCAAAAAAAGGTAAGATTTCATTGGGAACATTTATTTGTTGGAATTATTTCTAATGACAAAATATTTAATTATTTGTATTTTCCCCCACATCGTAGTTCGAAATTTCAACACCGGCGTCCAGAATGCATAGCAGAACCGTTCGCCATTTAGAGTACGAGATTTGCCGCAGTATGTTATGTGAAAGTCGCAGAGAAATACTATCGCCAAGCCAGACGTTATATGTGTATCTTCGCTTCGTTTAACGGTAACACTGGATCCGTTTGAGCTATTGAAAAAACAAACCACATCTTTGTATTCGGTATCAAGAAATGGTAAGATTTCGTTGGTCGCATTTAGTTTTAGGAATTATTATTAAGGTCGAAATATTTAATTATCTGTATTTTCCCCCACATCGTAGTCCTAAAATTCGACGCCGGCGTCCAGAATGCATAGCAGAATCAAACACCATTATAGTACGAATATCGCTACAGTATGTTAGGTGAAAGTCGCGAAGACCTACTATCGCCTAGCTCACGTTATAGGTGTATATTCCATTCGTTTAACAGTAACACGGGGAACCGTGTGAGGTAATGAAGAACCAAGCACACATTTATATTCCTGACAAAAGAAAGGGAAGATTTCGTGGTATACATTCAGCTGAAGGAATTATTTTTAAAGTCGATATATTTAGTTATCTGTATTTGCCCTCACCATCGTAATTCGAGAATTCGATGCCGATGTCCAGACTGCATAGCAGAATCAAACACCATTTAGAGTACGAATATCGCCGCTGTATGTTAAGTGAAAGGCGGGAAGAACTACTTTCACCTAGCCGCGTTATATTTGTATATTTTCTTCGTTTAACATTAACACGGCAACTATGTGAGATATTGAAGAAACAAGCACACCTTTGTATTCGGTATCAATGAAAGGTAAGATTTCGTTGGGAACATTTATTTGTAGGGAATATCTTTAAAGTAGAAATATTTAATAATCTGTATTTTCCCCCACATCGTAGTTCGAAAATTCGGCGCCACGTCCAGAATGCATAGGGGAATCAAACACCATTAGACCACAAATATCGAAGCATTAAGTTATGTTAATGTCGCGAAACGTGTGTTATCGTGGAGTATAAGTTGCTTAGGAGGACAGCTCCGCATAATTCGAGGCGTGGCAATGAAATATACTTTAGAGGCGCGTCACGAGATTTCGAGCACACGAGTCGGACTGTGATCTCGCGCTGTCGATTGATCGATCTTAGGTAGATGCACGATCCGTACGCTTTCTCTCTAGCATCGCAAAACCCGTGCAGTTCGACGTGATCATGGTCGCGAACAAGTGTTTCCCGTGGTATTTCGAAGCCTTGGAGGGACGGTAGCTGTTCGCGGTACATTTCCCATGCGGTAGCGATATCCATTGGAACGGATTCGTCCTAATCCACGCGTAATTGCCACAGTCGTTGCATCAGAAGTTTCGCCCATACTATTACTGGTCCTATTAATCCTAACGGAACAAACAATTGCGCGATTTGTGACAGTATTGTCCGTTTGGTTATTCGTGTTAATTTGTTTACTGATTTTAATGTGTATATCAATGCGTCGCGTGATGGATTCCAATGTATTCCGAGAATTGAGGTGGTCTCGGTTGTGTCTAGACGCACAACCGTGGTATCGAGTCGCGGTTCTGATATTTTAATTAAGCGCGAATCATTGGATGCCCATTTTCGGAGTTCTAAACCCCCCTTTTTCGCGAGTTGTACGACTTCGTCGCGAATCGACTCTGCCTCATGGTAGGTACGTGCTCCAGTTAATAAGTCGTCGACGTAAAGATCTGCTTTCATTATGGCTGCTCCCTTCGGAAATAGAGACGCCTCGTCATCGGCTAATTGATGAAGCGAGTGTATCGCCAGAAACGGTGCCGCGGATGTTCCGTATGTCACTGTGTTGAGTGTGTCGGTCTTGATGGGTTTGATTGGATCATCTCGCCACAATATCTTTTGACATTGGCGATCGTCTGGATGAATCCACGTCTGTCGGTACGTTTTGGTGATGTCCGCGGTTAAGACGTATGTGTGCGAGCGAAAGCGAATTATTAACGCGAAAAGATCGTCTTGTATTGTGGGGCCAACCATGAGCGTGTCGTTTAACGATTTTCCTGAAGCTGTGCGCGCCGAACCGTCGAAAACAACGCGGAGCTTCGTAGTGAGGCTACTCTCCTTGAATACTGCGTGATGCGGCAGATAATAGCTCTCACGTTTATTGTCGTGTTGTTGTTCGGACATATGACCCAAGACAGCATACTCGTTCATGAAATCAACGTATAGCTGCTTGCGGTCCGTGTTTTTCGCGAGGTTTTTCTCGAGTGAGTAAAATCGTTTGAGAGCGGTTGCGTATGAATCGCCAAGTGCGTGTTCTTCCTTAAAGGGAAGACTAACAATGTATTTTCCGGAATCGGAATCGCGTCGCGTGTGCTGTTTATAATGGTTTTCAGCCGCGGATTCTTCGTCCGAAAACAGTTTCTTCGTGGGAGCTTCCTCGATCTCCCAGAATTTTTTAATTGTTTGATCGAGCGCGTGAGTGGATAAATTGCAGATGGTACCGTGAGGAAATCCGTCGTGCATTCTGCCAATGATTATCCACCCGAATTTTGTCTTTAATAAGGCGCCGGAATTGTTCGCGAGTGAAATTTTACCTGCTGAAATAAATTCGTGGTAAATTTCCGCGCCTATTATTAAATCAATTGGACCTGGTTTATGAAATCGTGGATCTGCGAGTTTGATAGTTTTCGGAATTTCGAGGTTTTTTCTGTTGATGTATCGAGCTGGTAAAATGTGGTTTAGAGAGTCTAACACTAGGCAATCTATGTTTATCGTGAAATCTGTACGTCGCGATTGTACCGTGATGGTTACAGATTCTGGTATCAGCTTCCTCATACTGTGTATACCCTGTACCGGCACGTTTACTTCTTTTCGATCGAGCTGCAACTTTTGAGCTAAAGGTTTACTCAGAAAGTGAGACTGCGAACCCGGATCGATCAAAGCTCTGCACGAATGTGTACGACCGAATTTGTCGGTGACGTCTACTATCGCGGTTGATAGTAGACCGTTTGCTGCTGTTTGCGCGGATAAGCTAGCTACGTTTGCCTGTGCGGTACTTGCACTGGGCCGCGAATCTTCTTGCAGCAACGTGTGATGTTTCGCGTTGCACTTCCTACACGTGCTCGAACGGCAGTCTTTGGCGATGTGATTTGGCCGTAGACAATTTGAGCATAATGTCGCGCCTTTTATTATGTCGCGTCGTTGCTCCGTTGTCGCGTTTTCGAGTTTTTTGCAAGAAGACGTGTAGTGTTCCTCCTTGCATATGTTGCATTGCGGAATCGAGCTTGCGGACGAGAGTCGCGATCGTTCGTGCGCGTCAGAGTCATTCCAACTCGTGCCAAAAAAAGGTAAGACTTCGTTGTGAACATTTATTTGTAGGGAATATTTTAACACGGAAATATTTAGTTATATGTTTTTGCCCCCGCATCGTATTTCGAACAGTCGACGCCTCAGAAAGTGAGACTGCGAACCCGGATCGATCAAAGCTCTGCACGAATGTGAACGACCGAATTTGTCGGAGACGTCTACTATCGCGATGTCCAGAATTCAGAGCAGAATATACACCATTTGGAGTACGAATAACGCCGCAGTATGTTAGGTGAAAGTCGCGAAGAAAATACTATCGCCTAGCCGACATTATAGATGTATATTCGCTTCGTTTAACGGTAACACGGGAACCG